CCGCCATCACCACACGCACAACTGTTTTTAAACGACATTATTTGTACGTACTTCTAATTCATCAGCGGGATGAAGAGAAATTGAGTTTATCATACGCGGCTGGTCGGTAGAGTGATAATTCGAAATTTCTTCTGGCAATTCACTGGCACCAGACGACAAAAAATATTCATTAAACTTGTTCGCCGACAAGCTCCAGGCGTTTGCGTAACCGTCAATTTCTCACTCATCTGGAATGGCAACATGATTTAAAGGCACTAATTGTTTCTTAGTGTACCAAGTTTTAGTAGGGTCCCTAAATATTTCTGTATTTTTTTATAAACTAATATTTTTGTTTTTTTAATATCCAGTGCCAGTTTGTTCCTCTATTTTTTGTGGTCACTGAGTAAACTCGTATTCATAGTTCTGATAAATTTGGCGAACATTTTATCGCGCGCTACTGTTCGTTTGTAGAGTTCACGTGTAACCCAAGGTTTCCTTGACTTTTTTGTATTTTCTTACTTCAAGTAATGGAAAGGTTTATGGTAGTACTCTTGTAATTTTATTACAAAAGAATCGAAGGCTTTCCCTGGATTTCGTTCATTTAATGTAATTTTATGTTTCTAAGAGAAGAGGTTGTAGAAGCATTCCAAGGTATTGTGATTTATATTCCTAATAAATATTTTAATATTGTTGGAGGAGGAATCGTGATTTGAATTGTTCTAGAAAGAAAACCAAACAAGGGCAATTGGTCACACAGATCTACAGTTAGTACTCCAGCAAAAACATCAGAGCTTCGGCAGTTTGTGATACAGGTATCGATCAAGGTTTCCGTACTTTCGGCTATACGAATTGGGATATTGATAATATTCTCGCATCCATTTAATTGAACAATTTCTAAAAAATCAATTTTTATTGAATCTTTTCCTAACACATCAATATTTACGTCACCTATTAAAGCTATTTGCAGATTCCTTGAGGTAACGTATTCTAGTAACTCTTCCAAAAAGTTTAGAAAAACATTTAACGTACCAGATGGCGGTCGATAAACTACAGCAATTATGATACTTGCACACCTGGTAAAAAAGAGTCGAAATCAACGTTTAAGCAAGTTTCTGTTGACTCTGGGGTACCGCAGGGGTCTGTTCTCGGGCCCCTAATGTTTCTTGTATTTATTAATGATGTCTTAAACGACATTCCAGTCCAGATTAATCTCTTTGCAGACGACTGCATCCTTTATAAAGAAGTTAGTAGTCCTGATGATCATCTCCTTATTGAAAATTTCCTGGAAAAAATTAATCAGTGGTGCAAAACGTGGCAGATGACACTCAATGCAACAAAGTCCGTATGTATGACCATCACGCGAAAAAAGAAAAACATTTCACAATTTCCCTACAAGATAGATGGCGCACCTTTGCAAAGAGTGGAATCTTTAAAATATTTGGGAGTCGTCATATCATCCGATCTGCGGTGGAACAGTCACATCGACTACATTGTAAATCGCGCGTACCAAAAGCTAGGCTATCTAAGACGGTCCCTGGGTCACTCTAGCATATCAGCAAAATTGATTGCCTACAAAACTTACGTACGGCCTATTCTTGAATACGCAGCCGTGGTATGGGATCCACACACGGAGGTGAACATAACGAAGCTGGAGAAAATACAAAGAAAGGCCATTAGATTTATTTACAACTCCTACAGTTGGTCAGTATCACCAAGCCAGCTCTTAGCAGATGCTAACCTTGAATGCCTGGAACCAAGACGCCGGAGGGACAGGTTAAAATTTTTGTACCTTATTGTGAACGACAGCCTAAAAATCAACAAAAGCAATTATATTTCCTTCTTCCAACCACGGGCCACAAGGAGATCACATCGACTGTCAATCAAAGAATTTTCTGCTAAAACAATGCATTTCTTCATTCGTTTTTTCCACGCACTATCCGCGAGTGGAATTCCTTGCCAGCTGACGTGGTCGAAAGTGTTTCTTTATCACAGTTTCTATCACAAATTGAATAGACAATCTTGTTTTGAACCTTGCTCTGTGCTTTCTTTGTCGGTTTCTTTTTTTCTTTTTTTCGAGTCATTGCTGGCCAACGTGGTCGATGGGGTTCGTTGTCACGGTTCTTGTCGCAAGCCTAGTAGATATGATTCTGTCAAAACCTTGTTGCACGTTTGCCTTGCTGTTCCTTCATATGTGTGATTCCGATCGTGTTCTAACTTTGAAATAACTATCTCCACGTTTATCTCTTGCACGCTTGTGTTTCTTTTGGTGTGAATTGATGCTTGTATTTAGTGCTGCAGTGCTGTGGGGCACTGCCAACGCTGTTGATATTATGTAACCGAGCATTGTATATTTGACTTTATGTTGTACCACTCCTGCCAAAGCCTTGAAAAGGGCGAGCAGTATGAATAAATAAATAAAATAAATAAATAAATAAATAAATTGCGATAGTAAGCGGCGCGCCATTTTACACTATACTGCCCTTGCAACGAGAATCGCGGCAAGTCGCTTCACACTTCTAACCATCAAATTGAACAATATCTCTTTCGCCAGAATACCGTGTTTCAGTAAAAGCTGGGATATCAAAAGTACAACAAAGCGATTCCAGATATAGACAGACATCATCAAATTTATTACGCAGACTACGTGAATTTAGGTGAAACAGTTTAAGCGTTACAATTCGGAAAGTTTTTACTTATACAGCTTCGGCAGGACGTCACGTCATAGTAAGCACCCTTCATGCCCTGAAGCGCCACGGCTAATTCTATATTCCAAACACTTCAGAGGAGCATAACACCAGGATATTAAATAGATCGCTGTCATTTTTTATGCTCATAGGTCGGTCACCTGACTTCTTTCTAACAAAAATCTTACCACCCTTTTGCCATGTAAACTGATAATGCATTTCGGTGGCCTTGGTTTTTGCAAGCCAGAGCAGTCTTTTGGTTTGAGCGGTCAAGTTTTCCATCAACCCAACATCAGTATTGTTCTGCTTAAGACACGTCCTATTTTCGAACCAGCGGTCTCGAGTCATTCTGGATGCAAAACGGATAAGAACTAGGGGTACCTTATCTGGTTTCCCGGGGAGTCTATGGATGGCCTCAATGTCTCCCTCTGTGAGCTCAGCAACGTCTAGCAGCTTTGCTACCTTATTTAGTCTGTTCAACAGGTTTTCATTCGATAGGCATGGGATACCATGCACCTCGAGGTTCTGCCTCCGACTGTACTTCTGTAGATAATTTACTTGTTGCCTCAGTCCTTCTATTACCGTTTGTGTCCTACTGTTTTCGATCTTTTCCACGCGTTCCTTCAGCTCTCTGATATCTTTATTTTGTTTTTTTTTATTTCTGCAAGTTCTTCATCGTACTTATCGGACATGTGCTGCACAGACTGCTCGATCCTATCCACGGTTGCTTTCAAGAAGAAGGGCGTACAGTTATATTTTCATCTGTGCCATTCGGTTTTACCGCTTCGTCAGGCTTTTTCGAACTAGGCAGTGCCTTTTGTTTTTGTTTTTTTTTGCAGTTCGACACTTTCGACACTGCCATGATTCTCTCGTCTCTGCAGTCATTTTGTTCAGTGCAGCTTATACTATTTCTGAGCATTTAGGAGGTATTTTGGGTGTCATTTTTTCCGAGAACTATCTATGAGTGGAATCGATTGCCTCAGTCTGTGGTTGGTGTATTATCAAATGATGACTTTTTTTTCTCTGTTAGATTACATCTAGCTTGATTTCTTTATATTAACTTGCATTCCCTTGCGTGGTTTAAAAGCTATGTTTATATGTATTGTTTAGGAGTTTCTATTTACTTCAATGGTTTATAAGGTGCGTGTGTTGTTCGAATGATTCATCTGCCGTGCAGCAGAGGCCTGACTGACATTGTATGTTTTTTGTATGTATATACCCCCCCCACACACTGTAATGCCTGAATTGGCGCTGTGAGTATTGCATAAATAAATAAATAAATAAAATTTCCCCTGGTGATAACCGAAGCTGCACCCTGAGCAAATAATGCACGTTTCACCCGATAAGGGCTATTTTACAAGTCAACCACACATCATCTTCCTCCGACATTGTTCGCCCTTTCTCCAACCCTTCTTTTGCACGAGCGATGGTATTAAAAATTTACAAACCGTAACAGCAGTGGAAGCAGTGGCAGCAGCGATAGGAAACGTTCAAAAGGTTTACGGAAAAACATGTAGTTCCACCAACCTAAAAGATGTGAAGCAGCAGAAATTTGGCTGCGTGCAGATCACTTGCTACCGCTGCTGCCGCCGAGTGCGTGTGAAGATGTCTTGGGGCGTCACGACTTTTTGGAAGTGAAAGTGGAAGTGACGTCGCGGCGACGTCCCTTCCACGCGCTTGGATGCGTCCAATTGTTGAAGTCCGGCTTTCTTTGTGCTGCTTGTTACGATAAATCAGCACACTTGTTCCGTGCGTGTGTCGGTCGAGTTGGCAATGCAGTTCACAAGGTATTGCCTGAAAGACGTAAAGCAGCAGAAAATTAGCTGCGTGCAGACCACTCGCTACCGCTGCTGCCGCCGAGTGCGTGTCAACGTGCCAACTTGACTCACACGTCTTTGAAAGTCCTCAGGCGCTGAGGAGATGCCGAAGGGAAGCCTTTGGAAACAGAACCAAGTTCTGAGCAGCTGCGACTTCTCAGCCAATTTCACTTGTCAAAATCCTGCTTTGGAGTCCAGCTTTAAAAAAAAACCTTGCTCCAGCTAAGTGCCCCAGAGTTTCTTTTACCGATGGTAGGACAAGCTTCCCCTTTTCGATGGACTTGTTCAGGTTTGTTAAGTCAAAAGAAATCCTGACTTCCCCACATGATCTGGGGATCACCACCACAGCTGAGCCCCAAGGGGTCGGCTCGACCACTTTCTTAATAATGCCGTATTCCTCTACCTCCTTTCGCTGGGCCTTGACCTTGTTCAACAGCGCCAAGGGCACTTTGCGTGATGTGTTTACTGACACTGGGCTTGCACCTACCTCGTGTTTGATGGTGTAGTCGCCTTTCATTTTCTAGAGTCCGCTGAACATTTCCGGATATTTTACTTTGTACTTTGCGTCTGCGTCTGCGGTGTCCACCTGCAGCAGCTGTACAATCTTGAGATCCGTGCTTGCCCGAAGACCTAGCAGAGGTTGTTCTAGCCCTTTGATAACGTACATCTCCTCTCAAGCGGTGTTCTTTCCACAGCTGAGGGTGGATTGAACCTTTCCTAACACCTTCAGTGGCCGTCCACCGGCACCGTAGGCTTTCACTGCTCTGGGGCGCACTGCACTCACATCCGTCACGGTTCCCAGCGGCGATGCATTTACATCTGCCCTTGTATCGATCTTGAAAATGCTAAATTTTTCATAGTCGCTGAGCTCTTTTCTTTATGCTGATGCATTGCTGCCCTCCGTGAGTGCATCCAGTGACCCTCTTCCAGGCAAAGGTTTCTTCTGGTCTGTGGTGACTTCCCGTGGAGTTTTCTCGTAGAACATTTTTTGCCAGTGGCCTCTTTTGCCAAATGAATAAAATTTGGACGTGAAAGCTGGACAGTTGCTCTTTTTGTGCAGTCCTTGTCCGCCGTACCTCCCGGAACCGTGCGGTGGGCTCTTCCATCTCGCCTTCTTGTTTGTTGGGTCTCCGGAACTGAAGCGGCCTTTCTTGGACGCTTTCCGGAGGGCGTCGAGAGACAATTTTGCTGCGTTTTCCTGATGCAGGTCAGCCTGTTGTCTTCGTACGGCTTCTTTTTGTCTTGCCTTTTGGACCGCCGTCTCGAGGGTGAGTGCTGGATCACTCTGCCACGCCTCTGAGTGCTTCGCATCTTGCAAGCCAACCACCAGGTGGTCGCGCTCTAGTTCGTTTTTTAATGCGCCTTAGCCGCAATGGAAGACCACTTTGTGTAAGGCAGTTACGAAAGCTTCGACTGTTTCGCCGGGTTCTTGCTTGCGTTGGTGAAACCTGGCTCGTTCATGGATGACGTTGCTCTTCCCGATGCGATGATTTTGTAACACTTCGATCACCTTGTCGAAGTCCGCCTTGTCCTCTTCTAACAGCGCTGCTGCAGCGAGTATGTCCTGCGTATCTCCACCCAGACAGTAAATTAGAGCGTCCACTTGGGCTGGCACTTCGTCTTCGACTAGACATGAGACTCTGCTGTTCCTGACGAAGCGGTTCTACCAGGCTGTCCACTCCTCTGGGCGTCGGAAGTCAAACGCCGTTGGTGGCTGGAAACCGAGGGTTGGCTTGTTGGACCGTAGCTCGCGCTTCGCCATGTTTGCCTACAACGAACAATGGTAACCAATTCGTATACCCTCTGCTCTATCGGACACCTCTTTTTCAGCTCGCTCTGAACGTCGCTTGTCGCCGGCCCTTTCTAATGTCGTAGCCGTCACTACCCCATGTCCTGATATCATGTCCGTGATAATTCTATTTGACCACAAGGAGGGAGACGGAACAAACCGACCGACACCGGCGAGCTCAGTCACACACACGCGCTCAACTAGCTTCCCCCTCTCGTGGTTTTATTAAAACACATCAACGTGAATATTGCCGCGGTCGCAGCTGACCAAGTAGGCAGCGCGCCCGTGGCCTAACGGTTATCGCGCTTGCCTTCTACGCAGAAGGCCAGGGTTCGATTCCTGGCAGCGTCCACACATTTTTGATGAGGCTGTAATGTGATGTTCTGGTAAAATTGAGAACCGTCTTGGCTGTCGAGGTTAGAATGTTCTACACACCGAACCTTCTACGCCGCATGTTCCAGAAGCCCAAGCGGGTACAAAAGGGGCTCTGCGTGGGAAGCCCGGGCCAGTTTTCGCCCCAGCGTTCGACTCTGCTCTTCCGCCGACTTCCACGCCCGCGACGCTCTGCTGTTATCTTTTGTTTCCTTTTTATTTTTGGGCACAAGTTCGCCCCCATTTAACGTTTCAGTTTCCCCAGTTATTCTTTGTTTCCTCGCCTGGCCATTTGTGACAATATTACCACAAGAACGAGCTCACATTAATAGTCTGCTAAGACCGGGAACCTTAATGGTGCGGAGTGCACGTTGCAGAACTATAGAATCTCGCCGTCAGCACGCGCTCAGCAGTCGCGCAGAAAGCTATGGCGGCTGGTGAATACCCCCTATAGGACTATCTGGTGGATTGTGTCGCAGCATTGGCTGTGATGTGTCTCCTCAGCTAAAGAGAATTGCAATGAAAGAAGAACGGGAACATTACTTTTTCCAACACTGGAATTAACCATGCGACGTGCGAAATAGAATGGGCCGAGTCATACAGGACAGAATATTGTAAGCAACCAAATTTCCACGAGCACCAAAGGTTCGCAAATCTTGCAACTTGTAATTATAGCAAAAAATTAATTGCACGAAGATAGGAGTCCCTTCTTACAAATATATAGCATATCACTTTAAATCGCGAAACTTGGGGCCTGAAAAGAATTACTGAACTCCACTCTTTTTTCAGGTTTGTGAAATAATACGCCAGTGAAAATAAAGTTCTTAAGTGACCAAGTAATTCAGGACAGGCCCGGAAGTGCTATGGTTTGATCCTGCTGCGACGAATTTGACGGAACACGCGGAAAGGAAAGTTGATTTTACATCACTGCTCCGTTCCAACACTCTTCGCGGCATCCGCGCGTAGGACAAAAGCTTACGAATGTAACCGGCACATATTTCGTCGGAGATTTCTAGCCGAAAGCGGCGATGCATTGCGGCGTTGTATCGCGGCGTGGACGTACCGCTCTTGGGAAGGATGGTGGCCCTGTGCAGGGTGACGTTCTCAAATACTACGGGCAACTGGGTGTATGGCTTGCCCGACCGCTTGGCCAGGAACATCCAGGCCAACACCATGTACCCCGTGGTCGGGAACAGCACCCGCCCGTCGACCTGGTGCCCCGCCAGGTAGCCGTCGTTCTCCCCGGCCTCCAGGTCAAACACCTCCATTTCATCGGAGTCCTGTGAGACGGAAAGGACGAAATCACTTTCAACCCGCGAGCGAAATCTACGCGACACTATCAGAGTTTTTTTTTCTGCTGCAACAAAAAAAGGTATAGAGACACTAGCTAATGAATATCTGTCAAAACTATCAAAATGGTTAGAACTGAATCGCTTATATTTAAATACAAATAAAACAAAGTATGTAATTTGTAAGCCGGTAAATAAACGAGATGACAGCACTGTCCACATAATATTTGAAGGCATAGTACTGGAGCAAATGACAAACAAAAAGTTTTGGGGTGTATGGTTCGGTGAGGACCTTTCATGGACAACACATATCAATCTGACTTATCTCGAGTGACTGGGTGTATTTTTAAAATAAAAACATTTATTGCCTACTAGGCTTAAACAGATCTTGCACTACTCACTTTTTTTTTTCCAAAATGAGCTATGGCATTATGGTCTCGGGTACAACGGCTGGTACAAACTGCAATAAGTTAATCCTACTGCAGAAGAAGATTTTACGTATATGCGAAAATTATAAACGGATAGAAGGGATCTACGCACACAGCCACTATTTATCAAATATAATATGCTGAAGGCAGACCAGATATATTATTTCAAACTCCTCCAATGGATACAGGTAAACAAACTTGACACCGCACCAATAAATAGTTTGAATCCATACACATTACGAGATTCAAAGCGAAAGATGCCAGCCATAAGGACGAACTACAGTCGGCAAGCCTTCACCTATCAGATAACTAGAACTTTAAACAGAACAGATATAGACATACACTTTGATCAAGCATTATATACTTTCATAAAACATTGCAGAAAAATGCTGTTGTTAAACGACATTGCATATTCAATTGTATGTGCTCTCCGGTTTAGGATGTGTCCACCATATAGTTTATTTGAACTAATGTCCTTTTCGTAAACTGTTCAATTTGTTTCTTTTTTTTTTTTTTTGTTGACAGATTGTACTTTTTTTTTAAAGTAATGTCTTGAGAGTGTGATCGCAAAGATTTTGTGCATTTTGGTATATCTCGTAACAGTGGCGTGACTGATGTTCTGTATGTCTAGTGTTGCTTTTTATTTCTTCCACAGTTGTTCCAGAGTTATTTCATATTTGTTCCATAGTTGCCTTATATTTGTTCAATAGTTCTTTCTTATTTCGTAGACCGTATATATTGTGTTGCTGAACTGTAAGGAGCGGCAGAAGCTCCGTCAGGCACCATGCCTTTATCTCTGCCCCCCTACGCAAAAAAGATCCCCAAACAAATAAAGAAAAAAAAAAAAGGCTGCCGTATCGCGACCGGTCGGAAGGCGACGCATTCATTTCGAAGGGACCGAGTACGTAGTGCAGCCTTGGGACCGCTTACGAAAGGACAGACTGGTGAATTCCGTCGGGTAGTCTTGGCATACTTACAATTTGAGCATAGTTTCTAATTTTTTATGCACATCACTTTTTCACTCTGGGCTTTAAATACTTTTGATACTATTACATGTGACCGCTTGTCATACATGTGACCACCTGTACATACATTAGATCCCTCAGATATTACAAAACCTTTTAATTTATTTATTCTGTTTATTTTCGTATACTGCAGGCAGCGGCGCTGCCCAAGCAGGGGAGGGTTACAAAAGGAGTTTATTCAATATATGTTCGAATCGGTTGACATCAGTACATTCCACAATCAATGACGGCAAGCAGTTCCATTGTTCAATTGTGTTAGGAAAATATGACTTCTGAAAAAGGTTAGTTCTGGCATAGTATGGGCATATGACTTGGGAGTGATTTAGTCTAACTGATCTTTGTGGCACAGGAGGAAGATAAGTGTCATTTGATAGACCAGGTGAATTGTTATAATGCAAGTAAAGAAACTTCAGCCTAGGGATTTGTCGGCGAACGTGGAGCGGTTCGAGCACAGGCTGCTTTAAGAAGTTGGGTACTGATGATGAAGTGCGGTACGTAGTCTGATAGGATGAATCTTGCAGCGAGACGTTGGATCCACTCCACCCCCGCAATGTGTTTTACAAAATACGGGTCCCACACAATAAAGGCGTACTCTAGAACTTGGGGAACTAGAGAACGATAAGCTACAAGTTTCACAGCCGAGTGACACCCTTTGAGTTTTCTTTGAAAAAAGCATAGCTTTCTGAACGTTTTGGCACATATGTTGTTGATGTGCTGGTCCCATTTGAGGTTGTTTTTAATTGTTGCACCTAAATGTTTCACTGAGGAAACTTCTTGAATGCACTGAGTGCCAATATGGTAAATGTAGGAAAGAGGCTTTTTTGTAGTCAGTGTCATTAAGACGGTTTTAGAGAAGTTAATTTTCATTTTCGGAAGGTCGCACCAGTCCGCAAGTTTACAAAGGTTTTCATTCAATGTAGTCTGACAGGAAGAATTTTTGACAAGAATATACGTTACGAGGTCGTCCGCGAACAATTTTACACTACCGCATTTATCAATATTTATGAAATTGTTGTTAATATAAATTAACTGTAGTAAATGGAGTTCCAGGTATACCTCATAGAAGGTAAACCTGGAGCCAGGTCTACCAGTTCTTTCGCTACAGCAAACCGCCTTAACGCCGGTGTGGACGGCCCTATTTTACCGGCCTAGTTCGCCGTAGGAAAATTCTGCACCCAGGGGAGAGTGCTTTCGACGTGCCCTCGCATCTCCTGCCTCGAGCTCTCCACAGACAGAACCGCGCACCCTAATAAATTTCCGCCGAGACACCGACCCACTAGCTACGCAGACTGGACACGCCCTCGCCCAACAAAGCCGCCCGACCACCAGAAACACATTTTTGACTTGCCGCTTGGCTTCGTGCAGGCAGCGAGCCTCCCCTTGCACATATAACTCTTCATTCCTTTCTGCGTCTTTCCTTGTCTGTCCTCCCCTAACCATCATTTTATGACTAGGACAGGGTGTATACAATATTGGTTCTCTCAAATTGTGTGACCTTACCGGGTTTTTGCCGAATATTTCGATAAAACTCCCCGATCAATACGAATGTGCAGTAGATGGAGTTTCGGCGGATGTTCGGACTGTTCCTATTTATTTCGGAGAGTAGGGTGGTGGCTGAAGCTGCACAGTGTTACCTCGGGAAACTGTCGCAAGGCGCGAAGGTCATCCGTGCCACCACAAGCCTCACCGTCCCGCTTTGTTGCGTGTCGCTAGGCCGTCTTTGTCGGCTATTGTTTCCGAATTAACCAATTTTTGGATGAATTCCCAGACAGTTCCCAGGGTTTGCCAGATGCTTCAATATTCTTTAACAATACCAGATTTTGCAGGTTAAATAGACAGCTTATACAGTCAAGCGAAACAGAATCCCATTTAATTTTCACATAAACGTTTCGATAACGACATGGAAGCACAAGGCTGCACAACGCGCTTGGTTGCAACCAGACGGAAGTACATAGACCGGCCTTTCTCCGCGGGCGCTGCAGCCACACTCACCTGTGACGAGGTGGAGAAGTCGTTGTAGGTGACCACCGACCAGGACTGCGAGTGGTCCCAGCTGACCAGGTGGGCCACATTGGGCGTACCCCTGGGCACGGGCCACGGCACCCGGGGGAACAGGGGCTCCAGCTGCAGGGGCACCCCGTGGGCGTGCAGCTTGCCCAGCGAGGTCAGGAAGAAGGCCGGCACGTCCGGCACGTCCCGCTTCATCAGCCCCAGACAGGTCGCCTACGGAACACACGCGCGGATCAGGATGACCACTCTGCCACCACAATCGTGCGCCATCGTTGTTATGTCTTTATTCTGGAAATACCACTACCGGTACTTTCTGGCTCGGGACGAATCAAGTGCAACCGTACCCTGCCCCAAAAAAAAAAAAAGAAAAACGCGGGACGTGAATTGGGTAAAGGCTGTTTGAAACACTTGGGACAGCCCACGACCGAGTGTGTTACACCCTCTTAGGATCTCTCGCGACGAGACAGCACACTGACACCATCTATAGGGCAGCCATAAAACACTCAACATTTCTGGTTTTACACTAGTCTTTTGAGTGTGATTGAAAAACCTTTGACAACGTTATAAATGACCATATCTCGGATAGTATGTGTGATGTACCGGTAAATTTAGAATAATGCAGGACATATTTATTCAACTGTTAGGTCTGGTTTGGTCTGCGACCGCGCCCAGTCTGCTCTTTTCCAGGCATCACATTCTTCTCCGTGGCTCGCTTTCCACCTCTGGCGTCTCCGGTTGCATCAGCTTCCGCCGTTGCCAGGGACAAAGGTCCTGTTGGCTATGCGTGGCAAACACGCACGTAATAGATGTGTGTGTGTGTGTGTAGGCGTTTTAAAAGTAGATGAAAGGGGGGAGGAGAGGGCCAATTGTGAATTCGCGCCAGGCGCGTTGATCACGGCAATATCTCCCAATTAAAAAAGCTTCACGTTCTCACAGGCCCAGCCGCGTAGGTGGTTGGCGCGTTTGTGTTGATCTTCTGAGAAGAGGAGGGATGCCCTCCGTGCCTTGGTCACGTGTGCCTTCAAGCGGTGTGGCTGGCGAGCTTGAAGTGCCTGCCTCCGGTGTTGCACGATTGTTCTGACTGTCCTAAATCGTAGTTGGAAAGTCGTCACTGAAAATCGGAGACGGTGAACCGTTTCGCTGACTGATGTCGCCGGAAGGGGCAGACTTTTTCGATGTTCTTGCTCACCTGAGGCTATCGTCTTGATTCGGAGATATTCTCTCTTTACCCTTGGCTACATGTCTCAGCTGTTCGATATGCCGTTTCCAGGCATTTCCGTCGTTCGTGCGAATCTCATATGTTCGGTTTCCTAGAGCTCGGACGACGAATCCTTTCGTCCATTTCTTGCTGTTCCTATAGTCTCTTGCCCAGACCTGGTCGTTCTGATGTAGGTTTCGTCCTTTAGAGTTGCGCGAGGCGTGCTGCTTCGCCTGTTTTGGTCGCACGACATTCGTTATTGATGGTCTAAAAATATCAAACCTTTGCGAAATTCGTCTCTTGCCATCATTTTAGCGGGTGTTGAGCCAGTTGTCGTGTGCGGGGTCGTCAGGTTTGCCATCAAGAAGTTATGGCATGCCTCGTCCATGGTCAGCCCCGAATTCAGGCTTGCATTTACAGAGTTCTTGAATATCCCCACGAAGTTTTCTGCCGCACCGATCGTTGCACTATGGTTCAGGGGTGAGAATGACTGCTGCACTCCGTTTCTTGCCATGAAATCCCGGAATTCGCTTGATCGGAATTGAGGGTCATTGTCTGTCACAATCCTTTCGGGCAGTCCATATCTTGCAAAGAGAGTTAGAAACAATGTTATGGTGGCTGCCGAAGTCATCGAGGTCATGGGCACTACCTAGGGCCATTTGAAATATGCATCAATGATCACCAAGAAATTTCTTCCATAAAGAAATCCTGCGAAGTTCTTTTTTTTATTCATACTGCTGACCTCTTTCGAAATTGTATCAGGAGTGGAAAACACGTAAATAGAAGGATCGCATTGTGCATTCATTTACACAAAACATCGCAAAAGCCAGAATAGGTGGCTGCATTAACGACATGGGTCAATTACTGTTGTAGGAAAGAAGGAACATTTTAATTAATCATTTTTATAATTATATTGTTTGAGTGTCTTCTGATGTGAATATATGGAACTCTGGGGGCAAAAAAATGCAATGTTTACATTTTTGTCTATTCCCAGCTCATTGCTAACAATTAAATCCAGCACTTTCAGACGACTTTGTTTCCTTCTTTCCTGTGACGTTTGGAGTCCTGCTCTAGAACACAAGTCTGTGGGGGACACATAAGAAGAAAGCATTTTAAAAACAAATTGCACTGGAAGTCTCCTAACTCTTTCTAAATCAGCTATGTTTCCAGTCGCGTGCGGGTCCCAGACACTGCTAGCGTACCTTAGATTTGGCCTAATAAACGTTTAAAACAACAACTTAGAATCACTTGATGCATGTTTAAAATTCCTGCGCAAAAGTCCAAGTTTATTTACTGCCCTCGCAATAGTTTGGCCGATATGCATATTCCAACTCAAGTCAGACGTTATGGTGACACCGAAGTGCTTATAAGAGGACACTCTAGGTAGATGATGACTGCCGACAGCGGTTAAAGTAAATAGGTTTCTTTTTCTGAATGACAGACATGCACACAGTTTTAGTAAAATTAGGTAACATATGCCAATCTTTGCACCACATATTAATTTTTTCTAAAGACGAACGTAGTATTTCATAGTCAGTGGAACTCTTAATTTCATGAAAAAGGATACAATCGTCTGCAAACAGTCGCAACTTTGCAGGAACTCCGGTCCGAATATCATTGATTATATTAAAAACAATAGTGGCCCAAGCACTGATCCCTATGGGTCATCAGAAGAGACATGAACAAATGAAGAGCGTGCGGTGTTCAACTGCACATAGTGTCGCCATTGTCATGGATTAATCATGGATCCAGATTAATATTTGGTCGTTGTTTAAAATTGTGCTCAGCTTCTTCAACAGCCTTATGTGGGATACGCGATCGAAAGGTTTCCAAAAAGTCTAAATAAATTACGTCTATCTGTCCCCGCTTGTTAATTACTGAGGTGAACTCGTGAACAACTTCAACTAGCTGCGTAATTGTGTGCACGTTCTTGCGAAATCGATGCTGAGTGCTGGTAAAAAATGATTACACTCGAGGTACGACGATACGTGCTTGAACACTACATGTTCTAGCATTTTACTACACGCGCTCAAAAGAGAAACAGGTCGATAATTAGAAATAATTTTAGTCACCTAATTTAAGTACCGGCATTACTTTGACAACTTTCCACCCCACAGAGACAGTGGCGGTACTTAATGAGCATCGGAATATGACAGCCAAGTATTTAGCACATCACTCAGCGTACCATTTCAAAATTTCGTTATGAATACAGTCGGGGCCTAGTGCCTTTTTAACCTTGATATTCAGAAGTATATTTAAGATGCCCTTTGCTGATATAACGATATCAGAAAAGGAATTTATGATTTGAGTGTAGTCGGCTGCCGCCTCAAAAACATGACCTAACCCATCATCTACGATAAAAACAGACTTTAAATAACCATTGAAGGCATTAGCCAGTGAACAGGGGTCATCAACGCTCTGGCCGTTAACAGTAACTTCATTCACATTATGCCTCAATGGCGACAAGAAGCGCCAAAACTTCTCAAGGGAAGCTTGGAGGAAATCAGTAAAGTTACGTTAAAGTACCTATATTTGGCTTCTATGATTTTTCCTTTTAGTTCACTATTTATGTTTTAAATGAGAATCGCATCTCACTTTCGATTTCTTAGCCAAGAAAGCCTACGGAGCTACTGAATAATTTCTCTGGTTATTCATGGGTTCAGCTTAATCAAGACCTTCTCCCTTTTCGTCATGAATTTAATAATGCAGTCAATAGCAAGCCTTTGAAAGAGTTCCATAGGAAATTGACATCTGGTTCTGGCATGAGAGATACGCTTGAGAACCCAGAAAACGAAAAAGACACGGAATCAATAAGGCCAGTATCATCTGCTCTAGAAAAGTCACAGTACACTTTTTTGTCGTTCTTCTTTAACACTTTTTGTAGCTGATTAAGTAAGATATACCACGTTATGCTACGAAATGCCCCCAAAAATATCAACATCCTTCACTCTTTCCACCACATTCTGAGAAAGAAAAACTAAGTCAATAATCGAATCTCTTCTATCCGACACTCTGCTTGGTACGTTTACTATCTGAACGAAATCATGGACTAATGTTAACTCAATCAACGCCTGTGAGATACTGCAGGACGACTGTGTGCTCTCCCACTTGATATTAGGGAGATTGAAATCTCCAGGTAAGATAATACTTGAACTTGAGTGTACGTTTGTTAAGAAATACTGATTAACGTCTTCAAAGGAATCGTCGTTACCAGGTGGACGATAAAAAGCACCAACGATAAGGGAAGTAGAATAAATACTAACACGAACCCGCAAGATTTCCAACCCGGCCATATCAGGCATGCCAGGAAAACGTATATCCTCCTTTAGGATTATTGCCACAGCCCCGCCCCGTGTATTTCAGTCTTTCCATATCATTTTATGCTCGGGTGGAACTACTTCCAAATTCATTATGTTATTAGTTAGCCACGTTTCTGTAATAATCATGATATGTGGTTTATCTGATAGAAATATATGCTCTATGTCGACAGTTTTATTTTTGATCAGGGATGGACAGTATTTCAAATACAAGTATTTAAAATACGTATTTGAAATACTCTGTGTATTTTGCATTAGTATTTAGTTACAAATTGGGTAATGTATTTGATGTGTGTATTTAAATACTAAAACATGGGTATTTCAAATACAATTGTAATTAAATACAATTTTGTAGGCGAAAATACATCCCTCAAATTTATTGTCACTGTCCAGAGCAGGAAGAAAACTACGTTCTGCACCGAATGCAGTGTATCTCAATCAAGCACAAGCGTTTAGTCACTGTGATTACAGTGCTAGTCCAGAGCAAGAATAGTGACGAAATCAACCTTCACAGGCAAACTGGCTAAATAAGTGCCTGTGACAACTTGTGATGCTTTCCAGTCAGATCTCCATCCATATTTTTGCCTGGAACATTCTAGATGCGCGGGTCGTCCAGATTTTCGTAACTGGTGCGAGTTGCAACAATAAAACATTCTCTAGCTAGTGCTGCGCGTCTTGGTCTTCTCGGTTCTTTGTTG